TGACTTTGACAAAATTCTTAAACTTTCTGAAACGTAATTTAACCTCCATTGCTTATATATTATGTCACAAGTGTTATTCATTCACAGACCATTTTAAACACCTGCTGTATATCAAAGCCCGTGTTAAAGAGCCGAGCACGCACAAATAAAGGAAAAGCCATTCGGGGCGTCAAAGGGTGTAGACCCAGCAGGGGAAGCCGAGAAGCTCACGGTTAGTGGAGCGGACCCGAGGGGCCCGGGATCCGCCCTGTGAGCAGCGCTCAGGAGGCCTGTCACCCAGTAGATAGAAGCGGGGGAGACAGGACTTTCAGAATGAAGCAGCCGTTTCTGAGAAACCCAGGGCTGGAGAGTGAGCTGGTGTTTTTGTGTCCTGGCCCAGAGCAGTGTCTGCCGCATAACATACGCGGGGTGCTCTTGAAATGTTTGTTGGACAAAGTAAGTTTTTGCTTAATTCAACTTTCAGTGTTTTCAGTTTTTTTCTCTCATATCTAGTCACATAGTCCAACCGAGATGTAATGTACTTTATAATGTTATAACAGTTTATGTTTCCATGAGTTGTTTTTAAAAGGTGAAAACTTATAAACAGTAATGATTTAAATTTTTAATTCATAAAGTAAATTCATAGATTGCCTTTCATACATCGGTTTTAGAAGCCAACGTAGAAGCCAGTAGTTTACAATAATCGTGTGACTTTTTTCAGTTGCACGATAAACTTTAGTAGTTTATTTTTTTAGAACTATGCAAACAAAGTTAGTTATCTAATCCAAGTTCCCGGTGGATGGGGCTGCGCAGGCCATGTGCTTAGATCTAACTCTGTTTACTCTCCACTGCCATCTAGTGTCTTGTAGGAAAAATAATGGTGAGCTTAAGTACTTTTTTTTTCTTAAAAAGTACCTCTAAGAATTAATTGGTTGTGAATTGAAGCCTTGATATAAAAATGAAGTTTCATGAATAAAGCGACTTTTGAATTGTGTATAGAAGATGAGAATTCTACGTCATAAGTGACATAGAATTATCTATGTAGTTGATGTCAATGAATCAAATGTTCCCATTTCTTCAAAAAATCAGATTTTTAAAAATAAATTGTGATGGTTTGTTCTTTTGTTCATTTTGCACCAAATCTTTTTTTTTCCAATTTGCTTCTTTGTAATTTGAATGCATTTTTATTCTTTCATTGAGCCAACCTATTGTTACCAATCTTCTCTAGTTTAAATTAACTTTAGATGTAAGTATGAAATTTGCTATTATTACAAAAATATTGGGTATTTCATATGGATTTCTTTGAAAAATTGAAGAACCTACTCATCTCTTGACACCACGTGGCCTCTGATTGATTTTGGGCTCCTTGGCCAGTCTCCTGGATGCTCTGGGAAGTGAGGGGCTGACAGTCAAGGCACCTCCGAGGTCTCGCCCAGGGGT